CTTGAATACCAATAAGATGCTCACTGGCGACTGGCCCTATTCAGGTAGGTAGTTACCTGGGTTCCAGTGGGAAGTCGTGACCAGTAGGGTGCAGCTGGTCGGGTGTGAGGACAAATACTCGCCGAAGACATTGGCTAGCGGTCGCGCTATGTCGTGGATTGGCAGAAGTTAGAATTCAAGGACCATTGGATCGGGTCCCAGTGGCTTAATGGTATACGAGCTCGCCTTGTAACCGGAAGGTCCTGGGTTCGAATCCCGGTGGGTGCGTACTGCTGAAGAGTCCCAAACTAGGACGAAACAGCTGTCCAGTACTCCCAGGTTTTCCAATGGTTCTCTAACTAATGTCAGCTCATGATGAAATCCTGAAATCAATCAAATCCCTACAAACCAACACTTGAATACCAATAAGATGCTCACTGGCGACTGGCCCTATTCAGGTAGGTAGTTACCTGGGTTCCAGTGGGAAGTCGTGACCAGTAGGGTGCAGCTGGTCGGGTGTGAGGACAAATACTCGCCGAAGACATTGGCTAGCGGTCGCGCTATGTCGTGGATTGGCAGAAGTTAGAATTCAAGGACCATTGGATCGGGTCCCAGTGGCTTAATGGTATACGAGCTCGCCTTGTAACCGGAAGGTCCTGGGTTCGAATCCCGGTGGGTGCGTACTGCTGAAGAGTCCCAAACTAGGACGAAACAGCTGTCCAGTACTCCCAGGTTTTCCAATGGTTCTCTAACTAATGTCAGCTCATGATGAAATACTGAAATCAATCAAATCCCTACAAACCAACACTTGAATACCAATAAGATGCTCACTGGCGACTGGCCCTATTCAGGTAGGTAGTTACCTGGGTTCCAGTGGGAAGTCGTGACCAGTAGGGTGCAGCTGGTCGGGTGTGAGGACAAATACTCGCCGAAGACATTGGCTAGCGGTCGCGCTATGTCGTGGATTGGCAGAAGTTAGAATTCAAGGACCATTGGATCGGGTCCCAGTGGCTTAATGGTATACGAGCTCGCCTTGTAACCGGAAGGTCCTGGGTTCGAATCCCGGTGGGTGCGTACTGCTGAAGAGTCCCAAACTAGGACGAAACAGCTGTCCAGTACTCCCAGGTTTTCCAATGGTTCTCTAACTAATGTCAGCTCATGATGAAATCCTGAAATAAGAAGTTCAGCGAAGATGGCGATCTTTTCGGCGATTTCATTCTCAAAAGCTGTACAATCGCATTTATATAGATTAGTTTACATGGATACAATTATTATTTGTTTAATTTCACATAGTAACGAAGGTGATAATAATTTTCAACTTGATATGATAGTTTGAAGGTACGAATATAGATTACAAGAGGCTTAGAGACAGGATTAGAAAATAGTTACAACGTATGCAAAAAATTAATATTTGATAACTGGAGAAATAATTTTAAAGGCGAATCGAAGGTGATAATTATTTTCGACTTGATATGAATTACAAGAGGTTTAGAAACGCAGGGATAGAACGAACTACAGGTGTGAACAAAATGAGCATGGAAACAAATTGAAATCAAAATTTTCAACTTGAAATGTTAGTTAGGAGGTATGAATATAGATTACAAGAGGCATAGAAACAAAAAATTACACAGGATTAGAATATAATTGTAAAATGGTTATTCTAAACGGATTACAAGTGTGATCAGGAGGAGCATGGAAACAAAATTAAAATAACTAGTTTTATAACTGAAAAAATAATTTGAGCCTGAAATGAAAGTTAGGACGTGTGAATATAGATTACAAAAGCCTTAGAAACACAAAAATTGCACAATATTAAGATATAATTGTAAAATAGTTATTTCAAACGAATTATAAATGTGAACAGGGAAAGCATGGAAACAAACTTAAAATAACTGTTTTTATAGCTGAAAAAAATTAGGTGGATTAAACGAAGATTGAGGGACTAAGAATCAGACACACAGCGAACGAAAAATGCTCTAAAGGAAAAAACGAGAACGAAAACAGACGAGGAAGAGAAAAAAAGACGGAAACAAAGGGAACATACCAAGCTAGGTCCATGGTAGTTGTAGAGGTTGGACTAACTTCTTTTGAACACACAGCTCCGGCTTCTCGATGCATATTGCGAGGGCTTCTGCAGTACAAAGAAGTCGGAAACATATTGCTTTTGGTAGGTTTCTGTTGACTTTGTAAATCACTTTGAAAGAATCGGTTGAGATTTTGTGGGAGGTGTTGACCAGATGTTCAATAATGGCACTTCTGATTGAACCGGTGCCTCCTCTTTGCAGCCACTCTGGGTAGTGTTCTCTAACACGTTTTGAGAGGACGCGCATACAACGACCTATGTACCTAGCTCCGCACGAGCAAGTGAACTGGTATATGCACATTGAATTGGTCATATGCGAAGGTTTGTCCTTCGTGTTGTTTCGAAGTATTGGGCGGCTAGAGAATGTCACTCTTAGTGTTGCTGCAGGGAAGGTCTTCTTTAGAGAGCTGGATATTCTCCTCTTCAGGATATCAGCTGCCAAATCTCCCTTGAAATTCAGATTTAGATACAGCGTTTGCTTTGGCGCTGAATCTTCGTTTAATCCATCTAATTTTTTTTCAGCTATAAAACAGTTATTTTAAGTTTGTTTCCACGCTTTTGTTACCTTTAAGTAAACTTGAATCTATTCATTACAGTTATTTTGCTTTGATTTGTTGTCACATAGGATATTCATCTTCTAGTGGAGGTGATGCCTTAAATTCCCCAAAAATACATACTTAATCAAGACAGTTCCACTCAAAATAGAAAATATCTAGGGTGAACTTTTGAAGTAAGAAGAGTTAAGAAGTTGCTTTCTCCTAAGTTGAAACTTCTTAGTACTGTCCCCTCAAAATCTGATTTCAGATTTGTGTATTTCAAACAGAGACTTCTAAATTTTTAGAAAATTAGTACTCTTGACTATGGAAAAATCCATTTGGAGAGTAAACAGACGATACTGTTTCAGGAAATTATATTTAGTGTGAGTACTTTAGAGAGATATGACAAATGGAACCTTTTCATATTATTACTATAGGATGTGTTCGTTGTCCAATAGAGGGATGCTCACTAACCACGTAGAGGGTCCGAGTTCGAATCCTGGTTGACAAACTGTTAAAACCTCACCCAGTTCTGGGAAATCGAGATTGAGGCTAGAAATCCCTCACTCCTGTAAAAGACAATACTCAGAGAGCAAAGAAATGAAAAAAAGCTGCATAACATAGTCTGAATGCAACTACACTTAGAAATGTTTGATATTATACGATAGAGTGCATTATAACATGAATTGTTGCTCAAAAATTTGAAAACAATAACTCCTGGTGTCAGGTCTCATGGTGATGAGTGCTAACGAAATCACATCAACTAATTTTGTAGAATGAACATCAATCAAGGATACATACCATTAAGTTAGGTGACTGAACGCAGTAGTCAGGAAATAATTTCTCATTCTATATTTACTTTTGGATAGAGTTCCAATTCTTACACCTCCTGAAAATTTTCTCATGATAATGGACAACTATTTTGTAACAAATTTGAATTCTGCAATATTTCTATCTTTCCGCTGCTAATATTAAATCAGAAAAGAATTCCTTTTAAATGTTTCAAGTTTGATCAGTTAGGGAATCACTGGAAACCAGGGTGAGCTACCTTGTCCTTGTTTGGAACCCTTCAACAGTACTTAACTACAGGGGTTAAAACCTTCCGGTTACGAAACAATCTTGTAAACCAGTCAGTCACTGCGACCTGATCTAATGGCCCATGAATTCTAACTTCTACCAATTCGTAATTCTAAAGAAACCACCAGCCAATATCATCGGTGAGATTTGGCTTCAAGTCCGTCCTGGTGGACTCCACTGGTTACGACTCCTCACTAGAACTCCTGTAACCAGTCACTATCCAGCTTAGGATTAACTTTCAAGAGTTAATAATCGACATCAATCCATGATCAAAATTGAAGGAAGTCAAATCCCCACTTCCTGACTCTTGAAAATCCTTTTTAAATTGCTTACATCTATAAAATTATGGTAAGCCCGTATAGCTCAGTGGTAATGTTTGTGTCTACAGCACTGGGTGACGCGGGTTCGAATCTCAGAAGGTACGTGAGTTCCTTCAAGGTAGCATATACACCTTGCTGACTGATGAGTGCCAAGAGGCACATAACCCATGTCTTAGCAGGGCTTCCTGTCATTTGCTTTGGTGGCAGAGCGGTAAAGTGCTCACCAACCACACATGTGGTCCAGGGTTCGATCCCTGGCCGACGCACTCGCACACTTTGCTAAGGTAGTAATAAGACCAATAAAGGAGGCAGGCTGGACATGAGGCTAGCAATGCCACCCCGTAGAAATAAACACCACTGCTACCGAAACTTCAGAGCTCTAGCTTGAAGTCCTATGTTCCACTCGGAATGTGAAGGAATAAAATTAAAAAAATAAAATTGTGGAAGTGAATTGATCCAGTAATTCATCAAATATTCAAACCAAATTGTTGTTTTGAGTCTAATAATTAATAACTTCATTTAATATATTCATTGTGGATTTAAACAACTCACTGATTTGTATATGGCTGCACTCTCACAGAATAACGTTTTTACTAAATCATCTATGTCTAAACATTCCTTTTTAGTAATTTAATTTTTTATTACAGCTTGATTCCACACTGTATTTCTGGTACAAGTATGGAATTTTTAGCATGGATATCAGTAGCCCGAATTCTGCAGGCCGACCATAGATATCAGGTGTGCGTTGGCAGGGGATCAAATCTCAGACCATAAGCATGGTCGGCGAGAGTCCTAACCACTGTTCCACCGACGCACAAACAAACAAATGCTTAACTTACACTGTTCACTAGTACTTTAAGCAGTTTTCTTTAATATAAGACGAGTGAGTTTATGGTCTTGAAAGACTAATCGAATGCTAAGACTACTCAAATAAAACAATAAGGTTATGAGTTATTTTTTTATAATAACCTTAAATTTCTATTTAAATCTTTATTCATCCTATAGAAATTCCAGAAAAGTTGATTAAACCAAGATACTGTGAACCAGAACAATGGTCACCTAGATCTGTATATCAAGATTCAAATATTCCTGATGAGATTCTATCAAAACAAAGATTAACAAGAGGCAATCGAAATGAAATTAGACGTGATGATTACTCGGATATTGATGAACAAAGATTTGCTAGCAATATAAGACAGAATAGAAAACCTACTGGACAGGAATATCAACAAAGAGGAAATGAAGAACGTCATCGAAGTTCAAGACGTAATCCAAAGTATGTTCTTCATATATGTCTTTAAAAATTATATTTAATTAAAGTGGTTTCCCTATGCTTAATTTATGAAAATCATTTTTAAAATTCTTTATATCGAAACAGTACGCTAAGAACTTCTAGGGGATAGTTAAAATCAGTCTGAAGGGAAACCCGAGTGTCGATTCTTAACTTGCTGAAACTCATTATCACTAGGTGTAAATATTACCCAACTACACAAACCAGTATGAGGATCCATGTTCTCTGTAATGGCTCGAAGGATGATGACTGCTTTGCCTTTGAAAGTCCTAACGTCACAGGATGCAGTTCAGTATAAACCGTCAGTTAGACAAGGTATATTTCACTTCTGAAGTCTAAAATGGAGTAATCTGTCACTCAAATTAAAGACTGATAAAACAGTCTGTACATGAACAAATTAAAATTGTGTTCCCACTAATAATTACAATATGATAACCGATGGAACTGTCGGATTCTATGCACTGGTTTACGTTTATCTATTAAGCTTGCCGTAAAATCAACCATCTACGATGAGAAATTATATTATATTGTATTTAATATTCGATTTTTTGAAGTCACTCAATAATGAATTTAAATGTCACAATTTAGTTTTGTTGAACTGAAAATGGGAAATTAGGCAGCACTGAACTACGGTATTTCCTATTTCTCAACGTCTATAATTTGTATAAATATCTACCTAAAATCTACCAGAAATTACTGCTTGCAATCATTTTAGTCAGCAATGTTAGTGGTGATTAGAGAAGCAGAAGTTATTTGCTTATATCCAAGATAATCGATATGAATAGTGATGAAATATTTGAGTAACAAACCACCCTTCGTAGTCAGTGGACCACAAAATTAGGAAGTACCCTATCCAGATCATACTCTGAGTCCCTGTACTAGATACTATATACTCTGGTCACTCTAGCACACCACTGACAACATGCTGGTGAAGAAAATTCTCCAAAGTTTAGACGTAGAAATCATTAAAAATATAGTTATATATATCTTATACAGCTAAAAACGTTCAAGTTTAATACCAAAGAATTGTCTTTCCATATATCGGCTAGCTAATAAAATACTCATAACATGATATTTGATCTACTGTAAGAAGAATCATTTGATCTGCAACTTTTCATTCTTCCTTTGCACCCCGAGTTAAACAAAAGGCTCCATTTTTCGATGCTTCAGTAGAGATGGTGTTTTCTTTTACAGCGTGGAGTTACTAGGTTCACACTAAACCTTTCCTCTTTCTGTGCTTACTGTCAGCTATGTGCAGTTTAGTGGTGTGTTGGTATGAACCGGACCGATAACACCCATGTATCACTGAACAGCTGACTCAGAAGTTACGTGATTAATATTAACTAGTGGGGTTTTATTTGTTTATACTGAACTCGTGTGAACTATTTCCATGTGATGTAATTAAAAACACAAAAGTCAGAAAAAAGATATCTATACACGTAACTTCTCTTCAAAGCTGTACACTTATTTAAGGGGTTCATACATACAATGCTAATTGACAACAGAGATCAGAGGTTATTGTCGGTTAGCTCCAAAAGCTGTGAATAATCTTACATAATCGAGAGAGTTCAGAACTAATTAGTTAAGTGATGAATAATCATTTTGAAATTATTGATAGAAAACAAGAGGATGAAGGATTGAAAACTGGTTACAAAAATAAGGATTAAAAAGGCTTGAACCGATTTAAGTATGTGACCCAACCTTGCTTTGTATATGGGTTTAAAGGCATTAGTGAAATCAACCTTATGACCCATCTGGTATAATATACTTCGCTACAGATGATGTTGGACATCTATTTCCGGGATCATTTGTAACCGGCATTAGAAGACACACAACACCTCACTGAAATATTTTTAGATAACAGTTACCCAATGAGATTTATTGAGCGTTATGGAAATGTCAACCAAAGAGCTCTACCTATCCAATCAACTCCCATAAAGGATGTTTATATATCCTTGCCGTTCAGGGGTGATCAACAAAGTCTGGTTGCTAAACAAAGACTCAAGGTGGCAATTAATAGAACTTATTATGCAGCTAAATTTATCTTTATACAGATAACGAGAAATATGCTGTTCTGTAAAGACTTACAGCAGCCGAATGATAGTGTCACATCTCATTGTGTTTATCAATTTACATGTATTTATGGACACACGTACATAGGGGGGATCCATCGGTCTCTTCAGGTTAGGACTACAGAACATATCCCAAAGTGGCTGCAACAACAAATAAAATCGCCGGATACAAATGATCCGGGAAATAGATGTCCAACATCATCTATAACGAAGCATATTATAGAAACGGATCATAAGGTTGATTTCAACAATGCTTTTAAACCCCTGTGTAGAAAAAGGTTGAGTCATAACAGTAACCTCTGGCCTATGTTGTCAATTAACACTGTACATATGAACTCCCTAAATAACTGTATAACTTTAGAGTTACCACAAGATATCTGTCTGCTAATTTGTGTCCTTAACCGCCTTGAATCAGTGCTTTTAAATGCTACCCACCTAAGCTGTACAACTACAAGTCTATAAAAAATTGATGCATTAGTCAGTGTAAGGCATACAGTATAAACAACTCTCTGCAAAAATAGGCATCCTTTACCTCTGTCCACCTTTTTAACATTAGTAAACATACCTTATCATGAACATTTTATTACAATTTAGTCAAAAGATATTCAAAAATTCTCAAATGTTGGTTTGTAGGAATTTCATTGATTCTAAGTTACACCATGAATTGACAACAGTAGTAGCACTAATCAAAGTGAATTGGTAGAACTTAAGATTTATTGGCCACTGTTTTCTATCACAGGCCCAAAATGGTCGATGAGTCGGCTTCCTAATCTGAAGGTCTTGATTTCGGTCAGGGTTAAGGTCATGGGTGCGTGCATTTGAAGAGCCTCAGACTGGAACGAAACATCAGTTCAGTGCTCCCTAGCCTTCGCTGGATCTGTAACTGATGTCAGTTCTTGACATAATTTGATATCGGTCAAATCCCTGCAAAACCAACGCGTGAAAATTTAAGCCAACATTTTCAATCTTCCCATCCATACGTCCGTCTACATTTAACTGTTTTATATAGGCAAAGATTTAGTTTAGTTATGAAAAAGAGACTAAAATTCGTTATCGGGTAAAAAAGATACCAGGCAAGTCAATCCATAATGCAGTTATGGGAACACATCTGAACGTAGAACTAATAGAATTTCACAGCAGATTTTACATAATTCCCAGGTGGTTAAAAAATCACACAGGGAATCCACATGCATGTGATTTTCAACTGAAATTCATGGTTACCTATCGCGAACATTCATTAGTTTGATGAGAGAAAAAATCAATATTGAAAAATCTTTCATAATTTAAGTCCAAGGTTATTAAAGCTGACAGAATTACATTGGATGAATCACATGTTTCCCTAATTACTTGTACTGGCAATAATGAATATCGACCTTTACTCATCTTGGACCGATTGAAGTGTTACTATTGGTCCATTCCCTAGTATCACGTAATATTTTGCATATTTTTATTATTATCAGACTGTATTCAAGTGACTTCCAGTCTATTGAGTATGATTCATCACCATGTGACCTTTTACCTCTCAGTAAGCACACAAACACAAACTCTACATTGTGTATCGTATTTGCTTTATCCGTATTGGTTTAAAAACTGATAGGTCAAATCAAAGTTAAATTTTGACAAGTGACTAATTAAATCCACTTGGTTTAACCTTCATAAATCCAACATCTTGTGCCTCACTAGCTATATTAACTAACTGTAAGGACTAAACTGACAGTTATTAGAAAACGGAACAACATCTACTCACATAAAACACTTTTTGGTGATTTGAATAAGTCATGCATGTATTCGCCTTGTTGAGATCAAGTGAACAACCTGTTCCACTGAAAGCGCTTAATGCTTATCTTAGGTATAGTATAAAGCTTGCTCAATCAAAAGCGACAGTAGAATTTATTGAAAATTGTATTGAGAATAATCAATATTTGAAATCATATGTGAAAGCAGTTCGTCGAAGTAAAAAGCGTCCGAATACAAGAACACTCAAACGATATGCTTTGCAACAGATTGAATCCCTTCAATCGTATATGACTCAGCTGGAAGAGAAAATTTCACATACACAATATGCGATAGATGAAATTCCTCAAAATTTGAAGGAATTATATATTGAGTATGCTAATAAAGTAATTGAAACACAAGGTAACAATAAGAAAAATTCACTGTTTGATGCATTAAACAATCAAATAAGTGGAACTGATTTACCAGTTGAAAACAATCGGTATGTTTTCATTTTTTTCCTTTGTATTATGTTTAAATGATCATGAATAGGAACTGTATTTAGGGATTTGATTTGTTTGAAGTTTGACTATGGGTCGATATCAGTTAGAGAATTACTGGAAACCAATAGGGAGTACTGGACGGTTGTTTCGTCTTAGCTTGGGACTCATCGACAGTACGCACCCAGTGAATTTCAGGACCCAGGCGCTTCTGCTTACAAAACAAACTCGTAGACCATTTAGCCACTGGGACCAGACTAAATGGCCCAGCCAATGTCATCAATGAGCATTTGTCCTCGCTTATGACTTGATGAACTTCAGTCATGTTCATGCTGGAATCAATCAGCAACGATCAGTCATCGGTTCGTATTTAATGTAAAAACATTCATATGCCCATTCAAGGTTACTTTCTAGTTAAAGAGGTTTCAAACAGACTTTGATGACTATTAACACCATTTTAGGGATATTTGAAGTCTTTTCAAAACAAGAAGCTGAATAACTTGCCTACAGTTTAATAGCTACTCCCTTCATATTAATAAATGTGTAAAACTTGGACACTGTGGTAGTAAGTAATTCCATATTAGTTTGTTTATTAGATGTATCCCACAGTCAGTGGAACAGTATTATTTACTGGATGATGACGTTTTGAACAAAATTTATTGTTCATAATCATATCAATTTTAATCACACAACTTTGAAA